TAATTTGATTGACTGTGTTCAAAGTTCCAAAGGAAGTATTTTCAGAAATGAATAAAGCATGGAATTTTACCCCCAGATACAGTCTCATAGGGAAGACAAACACGTGCATGAAACATTTGGGTGGGGATGAGCACTGCCTGCAATGTGTCCTGTAACAGAAGTTAGGAGGTCACCCCTCATGCTGGGGATGCCCTGGGCGCTTGGCCTGCATTTTCCCATTTAACCCTCACAACAGCTGCCCAGTGAGGCTGATCCTTGGAAACTGGGACGCAGTCTTCCAGCAGTTAAATAATTTGCCTTAGATTGCATAGCTTCTATGTGTCAAAAAGGGGCTTCAAACTCAAGTCTTAAGTCATCACTCTTAAACTTTGCATCATCAGGAGACTGGGTAGGATTTGGGGAACACACCACAATGGAACTGCATTTAAGCTGACTAAGCCTGCACATCTTTTATTATGGAAAGGCAGCATTTCTGAAGCATCCCCCAGCAATGCTTCTTAACACTAGTTTCGCCACTTCTCAATAATAGTGCCCACCACTAGGCTGATGGGAGGAGTAAATGCGTTTATATACGTAAAGCTCTATACAGCACCTGGCATGTGCTCGGCACTTAATAGAGCTTAATTTGCCATCATCACTGTGTCAGCTCCATCATCGCCTGCACCACCACCTGTGTTCAGTTCCCCCTCAACTGACAGGACCCCCTTTGTTAACAAGGGACCCTCCATTTTCACAAGGACTCTCAAGATCATTTCCTTGCAGGTGCCTGAAATGTGACAATCAGCCATTTGTTCCTTAGGTTAAGTGTTTGTCCTATACCTGGGGTCTTCATGTAAATATAAAAGCTAGCAAGAGGAATGAATAACACCTGCAGTTCTTAATAGCATTCAGTTGGGTATTTGAGACAGGAGTCTGTGCCTCTAGGAAGGTGAGGAAGAAAAAGGCCTCCCCCAAATGGGGACTACTAGACTGTAAGGGGAGGTGGGGCTGGACATGCTCTCCGCCATGGTTCTGATTCTGCCAAGGGCTGCACTTTCTACGTGTGCCAAGAGGCTGAGCCCCTGGCCTCCAAACAGGGATGGTATATGAGCTGGGCCCTCATTCGCATGTGCTGCAGAGTTCAGAGGGCTGAGTGATGGCTTCCCCAGAACAGAGGCATGTTGATGTAGGCTCATCAGCCCTGCCATCCCTCACTGGGACCTGGGGCCACGATTCATATCCTCTGTCAGAGGCTTGTCCAAGCCCCTGAGCTGGCCTCCCCCGGAGTCCAATCTGTATACCCTCTCCCTGAGCATGGCAGGCAATCTTTCAGGATGTGGAGATGGGCGACATCCCAACCATGATCCGTTTTCCCTCAGAATAGCTTAGGACTGGAATCGGGATAAACAAAGAAGGCAAAGGAGAGGATGCAGAAGGCACACTTCAGCCATGGCTTTTTACCTGTTTTCTGTCATTATTGCACATTCCTTCCCTCCCCAGCCCCATGTCAGGATTTCCTGGAAAGACCCCTTCGCATAATGGTATATTATTCAGTATCAGTTCAAGATACTAGTCTGTCACAACAGCCAGTTGCTCACAAAAGGAAAATGATGCCATGACATGCTAAGATCAGATTCATATGAGAAATAAAATCCTCAAGTCAGGATGAAAGTTGGACTATTCTTTTGGAAACCATGGTTTGCTTCTCTTTCATTTTGTCTTACAGGGATGCCATGTCTTTAATTCCATATGCTGAGTCCCTGTTATGTGCTGGGGGCTGGGAGACACACAGTGATAAGTGTGGCCAAGGCCCTACTACAGGAGCTCACAGTCTTGAGCCTGTGACCACAAGCTATCAAGGGCAGGGACACGGTCTTGGAGTGACTCACGCTGGCCTGTAGTTTCCACAGTGGTGGGGACACAGTAAGTGCTCAATGGTGCCTCTTCAATGCTAAACTTCAGTAGCAGCTTTTACATAAAAAAATGACACAAAAACCAACCAGAGTGAAGCCATATTCTTTCCCTTATCTAATGCGTTCCCAGGGGGCAAGTGTTTTCCTCATTTTTCATTAAGATTGGATGACAGTAAAGATGCTACAGAAATTGACACCACATGCTCAGTCAACATCGTCCTGCATTTGGGCAGCTCTGGCAGAGGAATTCTGGGCTACAGGCCATGAGGTAATGCTGGCCCTGCCCCAGGGTCCTTGTGTGACTGGGATCCCTTGGCCGCTCTGGGCCTGGTGCATGCAGGGCCTGCTTTTGCTGATTCAAGAGGCAGCAGGAGTTCAAAGGGGCTTTAAACAGGGGTCTGAGTTGGGGTCTATGGGTTACATATGGGCCCCCAGTGGTGGGGGCCCACATGGAGTTTTAACAGAATTCATTTCAGCATTTAAGAATTAGGAGACTTTATGTTTTAAAATCTGAATATTCAGCTGCTTCTGAAAGAAAATCGGACACCACCAGACTAGAAACTCAACATGAAAACAGTCTTTGGTAGTTAAAGAGTGGCTACGCTCTTCAGGCTGGGCCCGTGCTGGGCAGGGAGCCTGCAGTTCTCACCACTATCAGCATTCCTCCATTAAGCCACCTCCCTGGACCCTGCAGGCATCTGACTGGGTAATAAACCTGACCAGGTTAACTAGCAATCCAGGGCAGCGTGCGCTCCACACCATCTAGGAATTTATACTTTGTAGGCACAGGTTGGTCCCCAATATTCCAGAGAAAAGGCCACTCCAACTCCAGGATGTTGGGAAGAGTAGTGGAGGCACTCAAGGGAAGGAGTTAGAAATGTGCGTGGTGCTACATGGGATCCGGGTGTGAACCATCCGGCAAGAGCAGGGGTCTTTGCGGGAGAGCTGGGGCCTAAGGCTGGGAAGGGTAAGCTGAGCCCATACTGCTGGGACCAGGGCCTTGACTCTAGGTAATATTAGTCTCAGCCTTTCATGCCAGAAACTCCAAATATAATGTGGGGTTTAGGGACTAAGCCTGCCAAGCTCACCCCTACACACACTTCCACCCCTACCTTCATGATGAGAGAGGAGGCAGGAGTCTAGGTCTCAAGAATACAAAGCTAAGTACCAAGTTCTGAAAACCACCCTCTACCTTCATGAACTCCTCATTCTATAGGTTTGTTAATGCAGCCAGAGGCATCTCACAAAGACCCAGGGCAGCAGGGGGCAAACTTCCGGGTTGAATTCTCCCAAAGCACCTCAGGGGGAAAGAACAGGAGAAAGAAAAAAGGGGGGAAAAAAACTCTTTTCAGCTATATTAGAGCTCTTGCTTAACAGAGCTAAAAATAAAACTAATTGCTTATGCTATTCTAATGTGAAAAATCAGTTTTTAAAAGATCAAGACTCTCCCTGGCTGGAGAAATCATTGAATCGGTAATAGACTGACTGCCAATGAATTATGAATGTCGTAATCAGGCCTTCTTGGAAGGCCAAAGTCTTAGTTACAAATGGGCACTATAATTAGAAATATGCTGAAGCTGCCTAAAGCAGCCCCCTTCCCACTCCCCCACAGGCCCTTGTCTTCTCTATAACAGGGAAGAGGCATGGACTGCTCCCTGTCAGGTATCTGGTTGTTCTTGAGCAATACCTTGTTCTCACCATTAGCAGAGACATGGAACGTAGCACCATCCCTTCCCCCTCTGAAAAGTCCACCAATCTCCCCTAACAGTGGCTGGGAAAGTGCTTCAGTTCTCTTCTATTACCTGAAATTCTACAAACTAAAGACATTCTAGGACAGCAAGTAGCCCATCTTCAAATCCAAGAGGGCTGGGGTCTGCACAGGGCTTAGTCATCCATTCACCAGTGGACATCACTTTGGTCCAATCCTTTCATATGAACAAACAGCTGAGCTCTGCAGGATTGAGAGCTGGGGGAGACAGGGCTTGCCTATTAGAGAAGAAAAGTAAGAGAAGAAGGAGGCATTGCAGGTTGAGGTTCCAGGAAGGGTTGATGTGAATAGGGCTGCCTCCCAGCTCTAAGCCCTCAACCAAGGAGAAGAGGCCCCCACCCAAAACTTAGACAATGAGAATGGCCGATCTAGATCAAGAGAGCCAATAATAACAATAACATCCCCCCAAGAAAGAATCATGCCTGAGAAGGGATTATCTTACCTTGTCTTCTTGAGAATAGATCCATTTTAAGCAAAAATGGGAATTGCTGTGCTTCCTCAAAGTCTTCACCTTTAACTTGGCCTCCGAAGATGGGGTCAGTTCTAATCAGAAATCTCCCTGAGCAGGAACTTCTTCCTAGAGCTTGTCTTATCCCACCCCTGCCAGTGGGGGGGCTGGGGGAGGGCAATCAGGGTTCTGCTTCTCTCTGAACCCAGGACTGAAAGGGAGCCGAGATCCTGAACCCCTGGCCACTTTCTGAGTTTGACCATATGGGCTTAATCAGTGGTTCTCAGCCCTGATTACACATTAGATTCACCTGGGAGATTTTTCAGTGTTGATGCCCAGGTCATATCCCAAACCAATTAAATGCAATATCCAGGAGTGGCTCCAGGTATCACTGTTTGTTCAAGCTTTCTAGGGATTCTAATGTGCAGTCATGGTTGAGAACCACTGACTTAATCACTGCCTTCCAGCTCCTGTTCTCACCTCCCAGTCCTTGACTGAGAGGCTTCTCTAGCATGAGAGGCTCCAGAGGCAGCGATGCCTCCATCTCTCAGGGTGGGCACCAGATTCTGGGGCATCTCTGTATAGCACCCAAGACAGCTTCCCCACATGCCCCAAATCATTCATCAGAAGAGACCTTAGGGCACATTTTATCCAGAGTAGCAAATACATCCTCAAGCCATCTGTGTTGGACCAGAAAAGGTCCTCTAGGACACTGTATCAAGAAACTCCTTCTCAACAGGACATGTCCAAGCTCAGTGGGAAGGAATACCATCTTCAATGACTAATAACAGCCAAGGGCTCAGGAGAAGGAAATGATGGGACAGAAACCTAGCATTTGTCAAGCCTCAGAATTTATTTTCATCTGGTTTATAGGAAAAAAAAAAGACCCAGAAAAAGGAAGTGCCTGTTAACCAGTTCAATAAATCAACAAGTCAGCTTCAAAGGTTTGGTCTGTTGCCTAATACTGGAGAACCTTGCTACTCAAAGTGCCGTCCATAGACCGTCAGGATCAGCGTCAGCTTCAGCTTCAGCTAGGAGCTTGTTGGAAAGGCAGAACCTTAGGCTCCACCTAAGATTTACTGGATCTACAGCTGCATTTTAACAGGTTCCCCAGGTGATTCAACTTGACAATGAATTTTGAAAAGTACTGCTGGAGAATAGATGGGAGATGGGAATAACAGTGGGCTCTGCTATGGTCAGAGAGGAATAAAAGGAAAACTCAAGTAAAGAACAATGCTAAGTGTGTAAGAAGAGCACAGAAAGGCTGTCTGAGCCCCGAAAGGGGAGAGAGCCATGCGAGGGCAAAGCACAGGAAGCCTCCAGGGGAGCAGGCCTTTGGGCCCGTACGAAAGGATGGATGGAGTTTATGCCACAGGAAGGGCCTCTGCCCCTCTCCAGCCACTCTCCTCCTCTCGCTTGTGGGGGCCCTGTGGCACACTGTCCTCTGCCTCAGCTCTGGGGGTTGATCAGTTGTTTCTGGGGCAGCCTTCTCCCCAGCAGGCTTGGGAGCTCCTCAAGGCCAGGAATGCTGTCTTCTCCCTGCCCCATCTCCTGTGCATATCCACACAGGGCCAGGCTCAGAATTTATAGGTGGGGGTCACAGTCACGCTGGAGGGTCAGTTCTCCCTTGACCAACAAGTTCCCTCTTATACAGTGTCATTCAAAGACCCTGGCCAGCCAATCCGCAGGCCCTACCCACCTCAGGCTCATCCCACTCAGCTTATGTATGCAGAATACTTTGTGGAGAGTTAAGAGATACACAGTATAAAGTATCATCACTGTATGATGAGAACATCTCAAATGTAATCCTGGAGTCGTTGATATTGTCCATACATTTATTCTTGCACAGTCTTGCATTTGTGAACACTGCAAAAAAGGAATACAGGCTCTGGGGCAATACTATTTGTGTTTGGATCCTGACTCTGGCACTTTTTAACTATGTGACCTTGAGCAAGTCATTTAACTTCTCTATGCCTCCAGATCCTTGTTGATAAAAGAGAAGTCATAATAATAACACCTATGTCACAGGAGTGCTCTGGGGATTCAATGAACTAATGCACGTGTGAGTTCTTGGAACGCACTACGTACTCAACAAATGTTAGCAACTAGTATTTGCTTTTGGCTCCAGCACTTCCCTTCCAGGGCCCACCCCATACATGACTTCCCCTGGACCCACTCTATGAATGCTGCCCCTGGTTGCCTAGATCCTCCCCTGGACACCCCAGACCCATACAAGGTAGCATCTCACACTTCAAAGAAGGCAGTGCCCTCTGGCATTTGACTCTTTCCACCTACCGTTCTCTTAGGGTATATTCTCAGTAAACTGGAAAGAAAGTATATAATAATCTTATTTATAAGGGGGTATTACAGACTTATAGATGTCTTTATTCTTTTAAAGATTCAGAATATCTGTTCTTTATAAAGGGACATAGAGATAACAATTCCTCCATAAAAAGGGACTCAGCATTAGCAATGGAATTTTGGGCATAGACACAGATCAGCAGATAAGTATTTTAAAAATGAATAAGGGGAGAAACCTAAATGCCCAACTCTGGGGAGAGCTCTCCTAATGCAATACCAGAGGACTAGAAGGCTGCAGAAGGAACTTCAGGGCAGGTGTATAATTTGGTTGGTTCACTGTTCTTGCACTTGGAGTTCTTCTTTGGGTAAGAACATAAAGGGGCATCTGTGTCTCAGTCGCCCCTCCCCCACCATCAAGCAGTCCTCCTACAGCTACAGTAGGAGGCCCACCTCTGCCATGAAGGTCAAAATCCCCACTGGAAGGCTGGAATCCCATCTGGTAGTTGGCCATCCAAGCAGGAGGGTGAATGACATGAAAGCTTGGAGTCATGAAGATGAATGTGTTTTAAAATCAGGAAGGTATCGGCCTGAATTCCAGTTCCTCCTCTTACTTGCTGTGTGTCCTTGGACAGCTTTCTTAAACGGTATGGTACTCAGTCTCTCCACTTAAAATAGGATCATAATATTTGCCTCATAGGAATGCTATTAAGATCAAATAAGCCACTGAGTGTCAAGTACCTGGAACACAATAGACACTCAGTAAATGGAAGCCAATTGTATAATGACTTTTCAGTTTTCCTTTTAGGGTTTACAATCTCCCCACACAAAGAGTCAGCATGTTTTTTCTGCAATGGCTTTCAAATATTTTTAGGGAGTAAATATTTTCTACAAAATAAATCAAACAGATAAAACAGGTCCCATTCTCCCCTTCTCTCCTCAAGGATTCCTGAGACAGTGCAAGCCTTAAGAAACTCTAGGTACAGGTTAAACTGGAAGGCCTGAGTTCTAATAGTGTTAGGTCACTACCTCCCAGGGAGACCTCGGGCAGGTTCCTTCTATCCTCTGAGTCTCAGCCTGCTCACTGTTAAAATGAGGAGCTCAGGGTACATGACCACTGATGATGCTCTGACTTCTAGAACCCAAGGAAAATGAGTTATTGGGTCTGATTATTAGTCTCCCTGTCTTTTTCCCATTTCTACCCCAATCTATTATGCTGAATAACTACTTCTGGGTACTTTATGAGACAGTATGTCCCCATCACTAGGGAACAACTGTTTCTATTAAATGAAGCTATATCTTCATGTGCTGACTCACATCACACCTGGACACTTGCGGGTAGCAGAATTTACATGCAACTATCAAACTGAAGGTAAGCCAAGGGTCCTGAGAATGGGCTGTGACTTTGGTCAGAGGGTAAAAGCAGCAAAAAGTGGCCTGTCTACCTTAGTCCAATGACTCTGACTGTGGCCTCCTCCAAAATGGAAAGTCAAGAGCTGGAGTTCATGGGATTTCAAATCCACATCATTTCTCTTCCAAAGTGAATATCCTTAACTTCAGGGCTACCTATTATGAAAGAAGAAAAACACTTCCCAGTTATCTGGATGCTTTCATTAGTGTTCAGAGTGTATTATCTATGGGAGAAGTTGTCTGATATGGAGTGAAAGGCAGGGACTTGAGCAGGAGGCATGAGAAGGCAAATTCTTGAGGAGAGGGTGGGCAGGGGAAGAGGGTAGTGCAGGGGCCTGGCCCAGGGCATGAGGCATTCAAGGAGCCAAGGGCAGGTATGGACAAGATGAATAGTGGAATAAAGCCACAGATCCTACCATTCCAGCAAAGGTTCTGCAGGCAAGACAGAATAAGGTTTAATGAGATGTTTGAACTGAGGCTGTAATTGTGACAATACAGGTAAAACATGGTACATAAAAAGAATCCTGAACTACTGCCAGGTCCTACCCCTAACATACACAGAATTCTGTGTTGTATACTTCTCAGAAGTAACAGTAGAATCATGTGAACACATTTTAGAGTTCTTTGAAAACAATTAAATACCTAATAAACCACAGATGCTATTTAAGGTATTGGGCTCAGTTGGTACTTGCAATCAGCATCAAGGACAGCTGGCAACCGAGCTGACTGCTTTCCAGGTCTTCCTTGAGCTGTGAGGGTCTTCCAGGATGAGCCTTACCCCTGAAAGGAATCTTAAGATTTAAAGAATTTCTTAGGATAGATCAAGTGGTCTAAAATGCATACTCAATATATATGTCATGCAGCATATATACATGACATACAAGCAATGTTTTCCCATAAATGAGTAGCTCAGCTAGAGAGCTTACCTAGTGGACTGCATGGAGTTAATTCCTCAGTGTCCCCCTGGAGCTGAGACAGGAGCCTTGAAGCATATCAGCAGAAGATGATTTAGAACAGGGGTCAACAAAATATTTCTCTAAAGGCCAGATAGTAAATATTTTAGGCTTTGCAGGCCATAAGGTTTCTGTTGCAACTACTCAAGTCTGTTGTTGTCATGCGAAAGCATCCATAGTCAATTTGTGAACAAATGAGTATGGCTGTGTTCCAATAAAATTTTACTCACAAAAATAGATGTTGGGATAGATTTGTCCCATAGGCCATTGTTTACCAACCCCGGATCTAAAGGGTCCAGTTGTAAATCATTTTAGGCAGGACTAGGCAATGCTTTACTATTATATACCCAACACATGACCCAATTTAGTTGTGCATAAGGGATATTTTTAAAGTAATTTTAATTATCATTAAGTTATTTATCCTGAAGCTCAACTTTGGTCTTTATTCCAGATATCCATTAGGGAGAGATCAGGTAGCCCCAACAAGTGGAGAATGAAGAAAAGAGCAAGAAAAGGCAAAAAAATTAGTTTAACAGTTATGAAAGGTTGATGGAAATGTGAACCAGGGCAGGTGGGGTCTTAGAGCTGGCCTTATAAGAGACAGAGTGCTTCAGCTGTAGAAGTATTTCCACAATACTTAATGAGAGTGGACCACCGAGACCTGGATCAGAGGGGAAAAGCTGACTGCAGCAGAGGCAGCTTAAGTCAGGTGCAATAAGGAGAGGCCCCACATCAGTCAGGCATCTCCTGAACGCTGGACCAGCCCTGGGAGATTTGCCTGTTACTGGTTCAACCCCCATCATTCCTCTCCAGTGAGAGGTCTGAGGAGCCGAGAAGTGAGGTTGCTTGCCCGAGGACATGCAGCAAATGAGTGGGGAAACAAAGATGAAAATAGGGAATAGTTCAACATCAGAACCTACACTCCCCTGCTCCACCCCGACTTCCGGACCTCTACTGCCTGCTCGCCTTCTGCTTTCCTGCTCTGATGCCTGTGTGGCTTCGGGAGCCTGAGGGCTCATCCCTGTGAGATCTGAGTCCAGTGACTGGCCCTCTCCTCTCCAACACATCCCCGTTTTGATGGGGGCCACTCTTGCTGTCTTCAAATCTCTCTAGATCATTCCCCATGCAGCTACCCAAACTGGGAACCCCTGAGAACCACACTCCCACTCTGAAGGTTCTCTCTCTTCCTCACATGCAGGTGGCCTCAGGACCTTCATGCGGTGCCCTGGATGAGGAAAGGCTCTGCAAGACCGTGCACGTTGAGGGAACTGAGCCAGGAGCAGATGAGACGAGGACCTGGGGACTCCCCGAGTCATTCCCCACTGCCCTCCCTGCTCAGAGGGCCTGAATGGCAGCTGCAAATTGCTTATGAAATCCATTCTCAGTGCTGCCAAATGTAGGGGGGAGGGCGTGTTTTGGAGTAAAGCTGTAATATGCCTGCAATAAAAGTTTACCAGCTTTTATATAGGTTCCCAATAATGAGGGAAGATATTTCAGCAGTTCAGAAAGTGCCATGAGAAGAAAAACAATTCCTGGCGCCATCTCTTTAAGGCGAGAATCTGCCTCCCCCACACAGTTCTGAACTGGGAATTTTTCCCATTTAGAGGATTTTAGGATTGCATTAAGTTCTGTGTCTCCTTCATTCCTCATCAGGGTTTGAAATGGTTCCTAAGACTTCTGAAAAAAGAGTTCATAAAGTGTCACTTTGCACAGAAGATGGGTGGTGAATTTCTATACCCCCAAATCTTGGAAGAGTCAAGAGTTATAGCAACAGAGAGGTAAGGAGATGAGGAATTCTGGAGTATTCTAGGAGTTCAGAGCTGGGGGCAAGGGTATGAAGAGAAATGTGTCCTGAGGTCCCAGACCTTGGGAAATAAATCGGAGTGTTGCTGCCCTAGACAAGGACTTAGGAGGTGGTATCCCCACGAGGTGGTCAGAAACTTAGGAGAAAGCGTGGAGAAGAATCTGCCAGAGGTCTGGGAAGGCAGAACAATGGGAGAGCCCCAAAGAACGGCTGGAAGCAGAGGGAAGGGCCTCCAGCACTGCTGAGCGGACTGAGGGTGGTGGCCGCAAAGGGGATGGCATGAGGGAGGCCAGGACAAAGGCAGACGAGTGCCCTCTGGACCAGAAGAGCAGTGTGCTTCTGGAGCTGCTGTCACACACTACCCAGAGAGTGAGGGCCCTGTTCCCTACGCAGGGACCTGACTGTGACCCGTGCTAAGATGCCCTTGGGGTTTGCTACAAACCCATAGGCCCAGGGGTATTCACTGGCTAATGGGCATCATGTCAAACCTCATTAACAAAAACATGCCTGATTTCAAATTTGTGATCATTTGGAGACAGACAAGACTCGAGCTGACATATGAGGCTTCAATGCAAATAGTTTGTTACACAAATCAGGAGTGTGAATGAATTATGGGTAGGAGTGATAATTAACTACTTGGCGAAAACCCACTTATTTCAAGAGCGTGGAATGACATTAGCTCCTCTCTCTCTGCATTCAAACGATGTCACTTACAAACGACTGCTGTCTCACCTCAGCTAGGTCCAGCAGACCTCTGCCTCAGAGCACTTCATTAGTCACTAATTGATGTTATTGCACATGCTTAAAATAGCGATAACAACTCCCCCTCCTTTCAAGGTCCATCTTGAGTCACCCAATTCCTGCTGGAGTGCTCCCCTGAAGGAGGCTTCTAGGACTCTAAGCCCGTGTGACTTTCCCAGGAACATGCAATGTCTGGGCCACCAGTGTGCCATTTATGGGCGCCCTTGAACTATGAGTTCCCCTGTGCCATGCTCAGATCTGGACCTGAAGTACTGAGAGACTAAAAATGAGCCTTATTTATGGCAACTTGACTCATTAGATGACCAAGAACTCTGTGTTGGCTCATTGACATAGAAATATAATTTTTGAACATCTTTATGTATGGATGCTATGAAATATCAGGAAGCGATTAAAAAAGATGAGTTGGAGCTATATATATTGATTTACTAGAAAGATCAATTTCACTTTGAGTGAAAAAAAACTGATTGTAGGGTTATGCCCATTCTGTGATCCCATTTTTGAAGAAAATTACTTGTTGATATATGTTACGAACATTTAAAGATGAATGAGCACAGAGAAGTGGAAGCGAGGATTTACACCAAACCGCTAATGTTTGCGGCTGGGGATGAAGAGAAGAACTGGCTTTCCCTTCACAGGTCTATGTTGTCTGGCTTGTTAAAAGGAACATGCATCATTTTTTGTTTTAAGGGGGAGTCAGGAAGCATTACAAATAGTGCAAAGTCCATCTATGTCAGTGTTTGCATCAGCTAGATACCGCGGCCTCTTCCCCATGAGGCTGACGGCCCAGCTCCAGGGGCGGGGAGGAGCCCGGCAGATCATCTGTGCCTCTGCCCCTCATGGTGGCAGCCACCCAGTCTCCCTGGGGAGCTTGAGGAGGGAGCTTCATCTACTCCACAGCCCCTGCATTCCTGCCTCTTAGATTCAGCCCCATCGCTCCCTCCTCCTCAAGGCAACCACGTGCGGGTCTCCACATCTTACAGAGAGTCCTGTATGAAACAGGAGCTGACGCACAAGAGCTGGACATTGTCTGTTTTTCTTTCCAGGTCTGCTCTCTGCTGCCTCCGGCTTGCCAAGTGCCACCAGGAGGCTGGCATCCAGGGGCTGCCTCAAGAACACTCCCTCGCCAGGCTGCGGCAGTCGACAGGAGACCAGGGGCTGAGAGGAGGCCGCAGGCAGGGCCTCATTCCCCAGCTCCATCACGTCCCAGCCCCAGGCTGACACCAGCTGTGTCCCTCTACTGAAAACCACAGCTGCTGGCAGGCAGCTTTGCTTTCCTGGGGGGTGGTAAGTGCTTCATATCTTGGAAGGGGGCTGAGGGTGGTAACAGTTTCTTGTTGTTAATACTCCCGAGGTGTCACATCTCTTGCTGGTTCCCTTAAACGTGTCTGTGCCCTGTGAACTGCTCTTTTACTAAACTCTCTTCAATCTCTCCCTTGTGACTATGCCACCTTATGCTTCTGCCCAGACCCTAAGCAGCTTCCCTGCCCTCTGCCACAAGCAAGGGCTGCAGGGGCACTCTGACTGAGAGCAAGGGCTCTCTTCACACGTTGCCTCTGCTATGGGAAGCCTCTCCATCCACAGGCACAGGCCCCCTGGAATAATTTCTCTTGGGCACACTGTCCAGCCTGAGCCCAGGGAGGTTCCAAACACCCACTAGCCATGAATTGGTGGTAAACAAGCCCAGCTTACCTCCTGGCAATCCATGTGAACAAAGGAATCTGGGTGAGCTAAAAGAGATGGAAATCATGCCCGCTCACAGAGGGGTGCTCTGAAGCCAGCCACTGTAGCCAAATCTCCCCCAGAGCAAAGTTATGCTCCTGTGCCTCTCACCTAGTGGATGTCAATCAGGCAAGAAACAGGGAGAGAACAAATGCAAACAAGCCAACTAAAAATACACCCGTTGCAGACTTCATTAAATGTGTGGGAATATTCTCAGTCCCTGGGGAAATGATGGGACATCAGGATCTCAAGGCACAGAAAAGGAATGGCAGCTAAAGTAAAACCCAATATAAACACAATAGCAGTGATGACAAAAATATACATCCAATACAAAAACATGCAATATGTTTAAATCCTGGGGGATACAAGCACCTAACTATTAATCATGCTGAGCAACAATGAGTTATGGCATCTGAACCAGCTTCCTCCCACTATCCAGAGGCCAGCCCTGAATCTGTGCATGCTACTAATCCCATCAACTCCAGGAGAGGTGAGAGGGGACCCATCCTAGGCCTGCTCCAACCAAGTGGGGCTTGAAGGCCAGGCACAGACAATAACGGACAAGTGAACACCTTTGCCCCCTTTACTGCCACCCACCACACTCCCAGTGGTAAGAAAGTAAAGAATATTCTAGACCCAGGTTTAGAACAACCAGGAGGACAAAGGATTGTTTTCACATCTGTAAAGGCTAATGTGTTTTCTTTATTTTAGTGAGAATACGTGTTGTAGAAGTCAGTTTAAACTGGCATAAACCGAAAAGGGGACTGATTGGCTCATATAAGTGAAAAGCAGGTGTATTTCAGGCATGGCTGGATCTACATGTTCAGTGGATGTCACCAGAAATCTCTAGCTCTCTGCCTCTTAGATCTGCTTTCTTTGATGAGACTTGATTCTTGCTACTCATGGATGGTTCCCAGCAGCTACAGGCTGACACCTGTTATTAAGCAACCCCAGAGGAAAGTACATACTGCTTCCCAAAGGCTTCCCATGGAAGTTTTAGAGTTTCAGGGGTGTGACTTGTGTCACTTTCCCACCCATAACTAATCTCTGTGGCTAGGAAAATGGAATGCTGTGTTTGTTCAGGTCTGAGTCATGCACTGACCCCAGGGTCTTCCAAGTGGAGTAAGTCTGACATAGTAAGCACTCAAAAAATATGGTTAATGCATGCATGCATGAATGAATGAATGAATGAATGAATGAATGAAGGCCCAGAGGTGTGGAAGAGCATGATACCACGGGGAACAGTGAGTTGGCTACTGTGGGAAAAAGAATGTGGTGTGAAGGCCAAGAATAAACAGCCAGTATTGATGGGGTCGCCAAGGGCTCCGGGTAGCCTTGGCCACTTGGACTATAAGCTGCAGGACACATGGAGAGGCCCAGGTGCACCATCTGCCTTTCGGAGCTTATATGCTAATCAGTCACATTATAACCACCTACATGTTATACCAGAAGAAATATGTGGTGGGCCTTACAGGGGCAGAGCATGTCTTCCCCCTTGGGGAGGGAGAAAGGCATCAGAGACCCCCCTGGCCAGGAGTCTATATTCTATTTGGAGTTGGTGAACTGGAATAGTTTGGACAAACAAAAGTAAGAATGAGCACTTGAGACAGAAGCTCCGCTCAGGGATGGGGTGGGGTGGTAGGTCCTACAGAGGACAAGCCTAGGACATGGGGCCACAAAGCGGCTCAGGAAGCCCTGCAGGGAGGCTGAGGCTTCCGGGCCAAGGATTAGAGCTTTACTCTGCTGGCTGTAGGGCATCACAGTTGCCTCTTAAGCCAGTTCTTCTCAGTCACTATTCTAGAAATAGCATCTATCTTTTTTTCAGGGCATATCGATTCAAATTCATAGTTTTAAGAAATCAACAAGATCTCTCCTCCCAACAGACTGCCTCCCCAGCCTGCTGCTTTAGGAGTGGGTGATTCTGTCTGAGGGGCAACACCTCCAGGCTGCAAATCGCCTTCCCTCGAACTTTCAACCACTTCCCGGAACAACATCACAGGTGTGTAGGATAGACTCAGCTTTAAACTGATTATTGCAAATCTACAAACTGTTCAGCCACTGGCTGCCAGCAAAGCCCCATTTTATCCACTGCTTAATCTTCACTCATGGTGACAGAATTCATGTGTTCTCAGCGGCCCCACCACACCTCCCTCCCGAGACCTCTTCTGCAGTCACAGCACACAGCAAACACACTCAGGATTGCCTGCCTCTCCTTTCTGTGTGTGTGTCTCTCTCTACCCCCACACCCCCTCCATCCCCAAGGAAATCACTTGACAGGGTAAATCCTGTGCAGGGGAGAAGAGTGGGTTCTCAAGGGTTTCTGTCAGGGTTTTCCCAGTCTGCAGGGGAGTGGTGCAGCAGGCTCAGAGGGCAGCCCAGTCCGACGAGTGACCTTAGCTGGACATCTGGGCTGGGACCCTGCAGTGTGAGGCTCCTCAGGGCTTCCTGGGGGGGGCACCTGGGAGCAGCATCAAGCCCGTGTGTTCCCCTTCCCCTCGTGAGCCACTTTCCTGGGGCCTGGGGCTCACAGACATCAGGGCCAAGCTCACCTGGCCGAGTCAGAGCCACCTCCCCTGCGGACAAGCACAAGCAGAGGGCCAGGCCACGCCCGCATCGCCATCCTCCTCCTCCCTGTCCCTGCACATAGCCCACCATGTGGCCTTCAGGGCGCCTGAGATCCTACCCACACTGGTCCCACTTACCTCTCCAGCCTCCTCTGGCCCCTCTGCTTCGCAACCCCTTCATTCCAGCCACACTGAACTGTCCCTGTTCGGCCATACACCCCTACTCTTTCTCATCCCTGTGCTCTGACTCCCCACGAGGACATCCACCCTGACAAATACCCAGCTCTCAAAATCCTACCTAACCTTCCAGCTCCAGCAACACTTTTCCACAAAGCCTTCCCAGGTTCCTGGGATCACATGGGACCCGTTCCTCCGAACTCCTGTGACGCTGTGCTTTTGTGCACATTCCTCCCATTCTGTTTTGTATTACAAGAACACAGCACAGTTTAAGAATATAAGGCTTTGCTGAGTGGCCCTGGGAAATGACTTGACTTCTCTGTGCTGCAATTTCCTAACCCATGAAATAGAAATAGTATTCCTATCTCAAAGAGCTGTTGAGAAAAAATAAATGGGCCAACATCTTAAAGCATATATGACAAGATCTGGCCTACAGGAAATATTTAACAATCACCAGTTGTATTATCACTGTTACAGTGGTTGTTATTATAAATAATTTCTCCTCCTATGCTATGAGTTGCTTCAGGACAGGACAATGTCTTGTTCATACTTGAATCCCTTTCATTGCCCCACATATTTCCAGGCATACAACGTGCACTTATTAGTTGATAAATGAGTGAACACAAGAGCAAAAGCACAAACTGCAGAGCCCTGGCTTCCCTGATGGACTAATTAAGATTTTAACTTCATTTCCTCTTGGTCCTCTTTACACACACACACACACACACACACACACACAGTCTGGGTACATCAGATGCCATAGTCATAGAAGGAGAAGAATAAGTCTCCAGGGAGGCCAGCAAAGGCTGCTTTTCTGGGAGTCATGCACACACGTGGGAGAGCACTACACCTGTTTTTCTCATCATTCAGTCATTTCCCTCATTTAGTCAGTCAGCAAACCTTTGCTTAGCAGTTACCCTGTGCCAGGCATTGGGCTAGATGCTAGGGCAAAGCAGGCATAGCTCTGCCCTCATGAAGCTTCTATCTAGCAGAGAACATAGACTTTATTGAATATTAACTCAAGTAACTAAAATTATAATTAATATTTTGGCCATAAGGGTGGCATTTGATAGGAGGGACTGGCCTCGCTCGGGAGGGCAGGCAAGCAGCAATACACACTCCAGGGGCCCTTATTTACAGCATTGGCTATGGGATTATACCACAAGGGCACCATTCACAAAAAAATAAAAACCACTCAAATGATGCCCCACACTAGAATATGCAATGCAGCAGGCTGAGGGAGGCTCCTCAACTTAGCAGGTACCCCAGGCTGAGACCAACAGAATGGGCAGGATTCAACCAGGAGAAGAGGCAGAAGAGAGCATTCCAGGTGGAGAACATGGCCTGTGCCATGGCCCTGTGGCAGGTGGACACAAGGAGCTTCATAGGACCAGAGGGAAGACTACTGTGGCTGAATCACAGAACACCAGGGCAGGAGGAACACGGTGAGGCTGGAGGGGAGGAAGTGCCAGACCGTGAGGGGGCTTTGCTGGTCACATTGAGGATCTATGTCTTATCCTGCAGGGGCTGAGAATGTGAGAAGGGTCCTTGAGAAACACCTCAAAGTCCAACTTCTTAAGTATGGAACCTTCTCTGTAGAGGCACCCACTCATACAACTGGCCCAGGTGGTAGGGTCTGACCCTGACTTACTCTGACTTATGTTTTCCACTCTCTTCCCTGACCCACATGGCCCCTTAAGCCAGAACCAAGCCTCAGCCCCCCAACCCCACTTATACATACCTGGCCACTAAGGGCACATGAGTCCCCACCTGCTCCAACTCCACTTCTGGAAACCCTGTTGCGTTCTTTCAGCAAACACAAAATGAGATTTGTTGGAGGAATTCTTCTGGGAATTAGAGCAAATCCAGAGTGAGAACACAGGTTCAACTAAGCACAGAAATGACCTAGCTTATCTTCTGCAGGACAAATGTTCCGAGATTCTGGAGCTGCTCTTCAGTCCTCCACCACTGGCTCCCCTGCCTTTTGGGAAGCCCTCAGTCTGTCCCCCCACCCTTAATCAGGGCTCCCAGAACCAAAAGTGATATTCCTGAACTGACCCAGTCAAATCAGAGTACAAGGTGCCTGTCTCCTCCATGGATTCAGAACCTTACCTTCTGTAATACAGCCTCAGAGCAACCTGGTGGAGGTTCGTTTAGCTCTCTGGATTTCTCTGAAGCTTGGTTTCCTCTGAGCCAGTGGTTCTTAAGTTTTTATGACTACTAAGCGCTCTGGGGGGTTCCACTCTCCAGCAGAAGGGAAACCCACAAACATGTCTCAGATCATTTCAGAAGATTTATGGGCTCCCTGAACCCATGTGTGGGCAGCCTCTGCCCAGGCACACTCTCTCCCACGTTCAGAAACCCTGATCTGAGCCTCCATTCATAATGCCATGGCTGGCTTCTGGACCCTGGAAACCCTCAAAGCAGCTTCCCCTGTCCTATTCCCGAGGCAGAAGGTTCTTTCCTTCTCCCTCCTCTTTTCCTAGAACCTGGACCTAGGGGAACCCCAACTGTGAAAATCCCAGCAGTTCCCCCACAACTCATCTTTGCTACATCTTTGCCTTTGCCCAAATCAACATATGAAAATACTTTTGTAGGACTTTAATAGGGAGTGTGTAAGACAGAAGAGAAAAGGAAGGCAGAACTTTGTGAAATATATTTGGAAACACTGGATTTAATAAAGTTAACTCTTTGCTTTAGGACTTCCAAAGCCTTGAAAATGCTAATATTTTCCTCAGGTTTATTTGACCACATTACCCTTTTTCATAGAGCTTCTCATGTCATCAGCAGTGCACAGAAACCATTTTTAAGAATTGCCATCCTAAACCACTTCCAGCACCAGTGTAGAATTAGCTCCTCAAAAGTGCCCCTCTCCTCCCTCTGGGGAGTTGGGAGTAGAGATTTGGAACGAATGCATTGGTTGACAGAGAGCAGTGATTTTCATCCTTGGCTATACGTTAGAATCACCGAGGAGCTTTGAAAATGTACTGCTGCCCAGACTCCACCCCCAGAGGTTCCAGGTCTTTTGACCTGGGATCTAGCATTGATATGTTTATTTTTCTTACTGCCCTCCAGGTAATTAAAATATGTAGGTTGGGGTAAGAATGTGTAGAGTTTTTTAATGGATTAGTTATGACTAGGTTCAGCTACAAGGATAGATGGAATGAGATGGCTTAAAGAAAAGTTTATTTCTCTTTTACGTAAGAGTTCAGAGGTAGGTAATCTAAGGGTGGTATGGTGGTTCTGCATCATAAAATCCTCAGAAACTAAAAGCTCCTTTCATCTCACTGCTCCACCATCCCTAGAATGTGGTCCTCATCTTCATGGTCCAATATGGCTGCTAAAGCTCCATACATCACATCTATGTCTTCCAGACAGCAAGAGAAGCAGTGAACTTGTGCCTACTTCCTTAATGAAGGTGCTCCTAAACTGACAAACAGCACTTGCACTTATATCTCATGTACTAGAACTTTGTCACGTGGTCACACCTATCCACAAAGAAGGCTAGGAAATACAATGTTTATTCTGACTAGGTATATGCCCAAATAAAAATCAGACATTCTGTAGATGACAGAAAAAATACACAATTGAAGAACAATCTATAGTTCCTGCCATGGGTAACAGGAAGTTTAATTAGTTGGTGCGTGTACACTTGCCAAGCACCCTACCTGGTTATGGGTGACCACAAAGAGGCTAGACTAGTGCTAGAGAGTGGCAGAGCAAAGGACCACTTGGCCAAAAGGATCATCCAGAAAACAGCCTCTCTTGGGACCCTGGTTTCACAGATGGGCAAAATGCATCCCCATGGAGGCTGTGTGGCAGCTCAGAAGTAGCAGAGCAGTAGCAGGGCTGTCTGGGTATGAAGTTTGATATCTTGGTTGCCTGATAGAAGGAAGGGAAGACATGACAACCTTTGTCTAGAGCAAGAAGCACCCAGCACAACCCTCAGCCCCCAAAGGTCTTGCTTTAGTGTGAAGATGCAGCCCTTGCATGATTTCTAGAGCAAAGGCTCTGAAAAGTACCTCGATCCTGCTGAGTTGAGACTTTGCCCTCTGCAGGCTTCTGGAGACCTCGAGTGACCATCACTAGGATGGGTACCTGCTTCGCCTCCTTCCTTGGTGGGGACGTGGGGCGAGGGGAAGGCTGGCGTACCTAGAAATGAACTGGTGAACTCCTATCTCCTGGAGTGGGATGGGGAGAACTGACACAGGAAAAGATGCTGATTCCCAGGGGTAGGGCTTCTGGAAATGGAATGAGGGGGCGCCCTCTACTTACCTTCCTTTGTCAAATTTGATCCATGTGTTCTCCTCAGCACTGGGCTCTCCTCACTCAGATGGTCCCCAAGATGAATTTTCAGCCAGATTCAAAACATGTCATGGGGTGGTATGTGCATACAGAACCAATCCATCAGTGGCCTGTGGAGTATTGCAAGCTGATGAAATCCAGAGCCCTGTGACCTTGGGTGGGAGGGAAGGGGCATGGCGTAGAAGAGGTATTCCTTTCCCTGAGGGCTTCTAACTCATCAGACAGTATTAGAAGTAATACCCACAAACCTCCTAGACGACACTCAAGTTACAACTAAAGGCACAGGCTGTCTCAAAGAAGGTTCCCAGAAACTGACACGTGACACCTCTCCTTACATCTCATCCACCAGATATGAGTACATCTGTGTGTGTGTTTGCCTGTACGTGTTTTCAGACTAGCCTTTGCCAAGATGGTGAAGCTGAAGGTTTGTCCCTGTCTCCAACTTAAATGCCCTTACCCTTTCCTCAGCACCCCTAACTCCCTACCTTGCCTTCTCTGCTGCCCACCCACAACACACATAAGAACCAGTGGCCCCCTCCAGCCCCAGAGATCATTGATTTACTACAGTTAAAGGCATGACCACTTACCAAGGGCATCTGCCTCTGCATTTTGAAAAGAGCAATGCTTAACCCCTAGGACTGGAATTCTAAAGGGAGTGCCGGATTACGGGACAGGTTTTCTAACAGCTTTGAAATGTCTCCATTATATCAGGCACAGTGCAGGGTGAATCATGTCCATTATTTCATTCGACCCTCATAACAATCGCCAGCTTCATTTCTCGGGAAGGGAAACTGAGACGCAGAGACAGGAACAGAGCTTGCCCAGGGGTAACCCAGTGGCGGAGCAGTCGGCCCTTCTTGAATACCCTATGCCTTGATGGGGACAAAATATCAGAGTAGGGATGGGGACAAATGGGGAGATATGCTTCTAACAGCCCCTCCAGGCACAGACAAACAGTGACTCTTCTGTCCAGGCCGACCCCACGCCTGACAGATTTGAGGTCCTTCTAGAGCCCTGCGCCCAGCCCCTTCCCCTTCCCCCTCCCCTGATTCAGAGGTTCTCTCTCCCTTCCTCCTCTCCTCTTTCACTTTGGGAGTAATTAACAAGGCGGGATTATTTGCCCTTGCATTTACACCTCCCAAAATGAGACGCTGGCTCAGGGCCATCCCTAAGAAGGCAATCTAAACTGAACAGAGTGTACTTCCCTGCCTAAGATTTTAGCAATGGAGTCATTTCTCTGAGAAATAATGATGATGAAAAATGGCCTCCAATTATTCAAAGCCTGTTCCATGAATAATTCAGGAGCAAAGGAGCTGAGGCTGCTTACCTACTTGCTACAGCCCTCCTTCTCCACCCCCACCTCTTCCCTCACTCCTAGGGTGCTTCTTAATTTCCCAAAAGAGACTAACTCTGAACACTGAAGTACCGAGAAATTTGAGTCCGTTGGAAATGCCAGTTAAGATAACCACTAGGAATTGTAGAACCTGCTCCATGTGCCCGACACCAGGCTAAGCACGTGGCATGCATCCCCTCATGTAATTCCTTCAGGATCTGCTATTATCCACATTTTATAGATGAGGAAGCAGAGGTTCAGAAAGTGAAAGGAATTATCTCAAGGTCTTGTAACTACAAAGTCATAGAGCAAGGATCCAACTGCAGGAGATGCCAGAGCTTGGGCACCCCACCACCCCTCCCTAGCTGATGTCCATTTACACAGAGGAGACAGGGCCATGGCCTGGACTGCACCCTGACCACTCCTGTTCTTGCCCTCCCTCTCAACTCCAAAGCCGGGGAGCTCTTTTAGCTACTCCAGTGCTTTAGGATTTGCTCAGAATCATTCCTCCTGGGATGCTGGACTCCCTCCCCAGTTTATAGCATTGCCTTCTTGCATGATGTTTGGTGGGTGGAAACCTGGGGAACTTTTCAAGCTCCCTGGCATCTGGAGGTAGGCTTTGCCTGATCTCACATCCGGCTCCTTGAAGGAAACTTTATAAAGTTTTATGTGTAGGTGAGCCTACAATCTCCTCCCTCATCTTCCCATCACCATTGCAACCTATCTAGGAGGAGAGATGGGAGGAAGAAGCTTGCAAATAGGGCTTTTAGTTTCCTGGTCTAAGCTGTTTGTGCTTGGGGCTACTCTGCTTCTTGGCCTACTCCCTGTGAGACTGGACATGTCAAGTCAGTAAGTCAGCCAAGGCCTAGACAGGAAAAAAAGCCTAGACACCCAAGAATGGGAGAAGAGAGAAGGCACCGTTGACTCTGCCACCTCCACCCCATAGGACCTTTAATCAGCTCCACAGCAGAGCCAGACAGTGGTCCCAGTATCCATCCCCCTGCTTCCTTAGAAACAGAACCCTGAGACTGATTCCCATACACTGTCTCCAGGAATGAAGACTACATCTCCCGGCTTCCCTAGACAGCTGGGTTCAGACCACATGAAATTCGGCAGAAGTGTAGTGGGAAACTTCCAATAAGTCTTCTTTTCCTTTTGCTTCCACCCATTTGCTTCCCAGTTCTCAGATGTGGTGGCAGTCAAGCCCAGAGCCTCTCCTGACTGGTGGGAAGAGTCCCTGGCCTCACCCATCTCCTGCCTCCTACCCCCTGCTGTCTCGCCCACTGGCCAGATTCACCTGAAGAGAAGACTGGAGCCGAGGGGTCCTTAGTGGTCAGCCTCGGGGGCTCAGTTAGGGAACCTCCAGCCAAGACAGGCTTGGCTTCAGAAGACCCGCTCTCCCACTCCCCGCTTAGGCGAAATCCAAATAGCTCGTGCATATCTGCTGGAGTCTCCCTTGCCTCTTGAAATCGCCTCAGAGCTCCCAGCCAAAGACATTGGAGCCTGCAGCCAATTTGTATGCAGACCATTATTTCTACTTGCTGATTCTTTCTGTTGTTTTCAATGTTTTTATGGTGGTAAAACAAAGATAACATAAACCTGACTATTCTAACCATTACAGTTCAGGAGCATTAAGCATATACATCGCCGTGCAGCCACCAATACTGTCCATCTCCAAAATTTTTCATCTTCCCGACTGAAACTCCGCACCCATTCAGCAATAACTCTCCATTTCTCTTCCCCCCAGCCCCTGGCAGCCATCACTCTCCTTTCTGTCTATGAGTCTGATGATTCTAGGCACTTCATCTATGTGGAATCATAGAATATTTATCCTTCTGTGGCTGGCTTATTTCACTTAGCTTACCTTCAAGGTTCATATACCTTGTACTTCCTTCATTTTTAAGAATTTCCTTCTTTGTAAAGACTAATATTTTACTGTATGTATATACCACATTTTGTTTATGCAGTCATCCAAGGATGGACCCCTGGGTTGCTTCCATCTTTTGGCTGTTGTGAATAATGCTGCTATGAATATGGGCACATAATATCCCTTTCAATTCTTATGGGATTGCTGGGCATATGATGATTCTATGTTTAATTGTTTGAGGAACCTCCATCCTGTTGTCCAGAGGGGCTGGGTCATTTTACATTCCCACCATTGCTGGCTCATTTTGCATCATTGTTTTCATGACGTTGATGTGACTGTGTGTCTTCTTATTCAGACAATCAGCACCTCCAGTGTAAGGACCATACCTTCTGCTGCCTATGGCTTTGTAACTATCTATGGGGCACCCATTGTAGGAAGACACTAAGCACATTAACAGCAATGACTAAGGTTCTTGTCTGGACCTCAAAGAATCAAGATTTTCAACCGAGAAATAAAAACAGCCCAGAAAATAAATGCAGTGATATAGGAACTGTAACACGGAAACAACATGCTAATTTCCATAGGGATACCTAAGGAAGTCTTTCTAGTAAAGACAGCACTTGAACTGGGCCATGAGAGGAGAAGAACGCCTCCAGCCAGCTCTGGAAAAGGGACCAGGCGCCAGAACAGTGAGAGCAAAGGCACAGCACTGTGAATGCTCCTGGTGTGACTGGCGGGTAGCAGGGCCCCGAGGGGTAGCCAACTGCAAGGAAAGATGATGGGGGCAGCCCAGACCAGGAGCGAGACCTTGTCAGCTGTCATGTTCAAGAGCTTGAGCTTAATTGGGAGGCAATGGGGAGCCACTGAAAGTTTTTGAGGGAGAGATGTCATAATCAGAGCTTTGTTTTAAGCTAAGAAAAGCATCAGCAGAGCAAAGGATGGATTAGGAGGGAGGAGGTTAGCAGAAGGAAGCCAAGTCAAAAGGTCAGCACAAGTTTGACATGTACAACATTATGGACCTCGAAAGCAATACAAAGGACAGAGTGAGTGTGTGTTTGGGACTCTGGTAAGATCTCACTGTGCTGGGCACCCTGTAAAATGCAGGCTCATCCTCTCCAAGCAGAGGGAACCTGCTGTGTGCTGCTCTCCCAAGTTTCTTTCGGTTTACATGTGGCATAGACCCCAAGTCAAGAATCCTTGGTGTTCTGTGGGGCCTGCTGAGGCGGGGATGAAATGACCCCACTGCAAAAGCTGCATAGAGCAGCTGGGCCAGAGCCTAAATGGGGGGCATGGCAGGAACACAGGGTGTCCCCAGAAGGAAGATCAAAGGGGAGGCCAAGCCAGGATCTCTTCTGGACTCCAGAGCCTGAGAGATTTACCTGCCTCTGCCCTCCTCCTCCTTGACGAGGAAGATGCACCGTGATCAGGTGGGCAGGTGGCATCACCGTGGAAACCGTGCAGATCTGGACTCCTCCACCTCAATGCTTTGAGAGAGCCCTCCACCCCTGTACTTTGGGCAGGGCAGAAATAAGAAAAACTGAGCAATAGCCCAGATTCAGACAACATTAAGTATGTTTTCTACTCATCAGAATGCTGGATGTATTCCAGTTAGAATGAAAAGCTACAAGTTCTGTACCAGAGAAAGAGATGCTCTTGTAGTTACCTTTTATCCCCTGCACTTGTAATAGAATTCCACTTTATTAGATGACTAAAATACAGGGTTCAGCACACCCTGGCCACACAAGCCAGGGAGGCCGGTCCAGACTGACATCTCGAAGTGTGGGAACACAGCTGAGAATCGAGGAGAAATAGAGGATGTGGCACTGAGCAACAGGACCACCGTGTGCCCCTACAGGTCACTCACGCCACATATCCTGGGTGCCTTTTTTCTGATTTGCACAGTCCCCATATGGAGTAGCTATGGCCCTGATAAGACAGACTTTCTCAGTAGCTTCAGAAATCATCTCCCTTCTCTGATGTCCCGAAGTCAAATACTTCTTTTATTAGCTCTCATAGGTCAGGTAGTGCCCATCTGGGGTGCCTGTGATAGTTACAAATTTACATTCATTTGTAGGAATACTTATCAATGTCTATCTTCCCTCCAGATCATAACCTCCATGAGAGCAGAGGGCAAGGGTTTACTCCGGTGCCCAGCACTGCTGGGCACATAGCACACGGTCAACAGATGTTTGATAAGTGAAAACTACTATCCCACCTGTGGGTCAACATAAAGCTCTGCAGGATGACTTTTGTGCCCTGACCCCTTTCTCCAGCGCCACGTGCCAGTTCCTTGGGGGAACTGCCATGCTTTAGAAGTAGGTGAGAAGTCTGGCCATCATTATGCTCTGGCAGCTTCGGATTTTGAAAAGAGGGCATTGTGTGAAAACCCGCAAGCCACAGGCAGGGGTGTAAACCTAATTAGGCTTCCTCCCCTCCTGTGTCCCATCCCTTATGCCACTAGTAATACAATAAACTGGGCAGGGAGCCCCATGACAGCACGATGGAAACATCCGATCTTCTAAAAGGCATCTAAGTCAGATTTTGCCTGAAATCCACACAACCTCGTACACACACAGACATCATTTTAGGCTGCAGAGTTACAGAAATCAACAACGGGGAAACAATATCTTTTGTAACTATGGGCAAAATGTGCCACTTTTCAAAGAAGTCCAACTTCTTTTTTCCACCCACAAAAGCCATCATTCGGAATTTAATAGCAACAGGCTTGCCTTAGAAAGGAAGATGTTTGGTGAAATTTTCATACCTCTTCCACTCCCTTCAATCTTCCACTTGGGGAATAACCAACCACTTCTTCAAGTCACTCCTCGGTGTTCCATTCTTTTTTAAATGTGCACGTCTTCCCTTAAAAACCACTAATACCTCAAGGTCTTCTGTTTTCTAGCCTATATTTGAGGTTAACAGTTGTATTAAGCAACAGTTGCTGCATAACAAGGAACCCGCAGATCGCAGCGGTGTCCAAAAATAGGCATTTTTTTTTACTCACAAATTTGCAGGCTGGCTGGGGCAGCTGTGCTCCACATATTTCTCATCCTCATCCTGGGGCCAAGGGTGAGTCAGGTGGTGGTAAAGGCACAAGAGGGCAAGTCAGATGCACCAACACACCCCAAGGCTCTGCTTGCAACATGTCTGCTGGCATCACGTTGGCCAAATCCCATCCAATGGCCAAACCCAACATCAGAAGGCAGGGACACATAATCCACCTTTGTGAGAGGAGCTGCAAAGGGACTGGGCACAGGGTGTGGATATAAAGAGGGGAAAGCCCACCCCCCATAATAACTGAACTATCTGCTCTTCACCAAGTCCCACATTTGTTGAGTTTCTACTGCATGCAAGGCACTATGGGATTCCACATTGAATTGGATCTAGTCTCTGCCCTCCAGGAAATTACAGTCCCATAAAGGAAATAAGTGAAGCCATAAAGAAGTGACATTTGAATGTGAAGCAAAGAGCTTGGGAGCAGGGGGAAGAAGTGACACATTTTGCCTGTGAAAGTCAAGGAATACTTTGCAGGAAGGGAACATCTTAGGTCCAGGAATGATTTTGATGGGCAGAAAAGGAAAAGACCCTTAGTTCTAGAGCCAAAAGCAAGAAATCTAAGCTTGATGATGGCGTCTAATGTTGTGTCCTTTTATATTGTGAACTGCTTTCCTAATACTGGAAACTGATACTAAGGGTGCAGACGGTGCTGGATTTCCAGCATGAGAGGGCTGAAGAGGAGTCGAGAGCTCACCTAAGCCAAGCCTGCACCAGGACCCCCAAGCTCTGCTAAGCCCTGGGGATGCGAGGATGGAGACACGGTTCTCTGCCTTCAGAATGGGCAGTCCTTCAAACCCTCAGAATAGATGAGAAACGTTTGCCATGTGGACAGCTGCATGGCTCAAGATTGTGGGAAATCAGCAGAACCGGTTGAAACCCCAAAACCGCAAAAAGCAAGGAGAGCACCTCAGGGCAGCCTCATGGACAACAGCAGTGCCTAGAGGCTTCTGGTGAGGGTCTATCCTCTGCTCCTTTTCTTACAAGAGGCTCTGAATTTTCTCTCTGTGTGCAGGGGTCTCGAGTGGAATTTCTCTTAAAGCCCCCAGCTCCCCAGAGTTCAGGTGGCCCCTCACTCTCTCCCCACAACTTGGAGGTTAGGAGTAAGATCACCTCCTCAGACCCACCTGTTCTCAGTTACATGGGTGAAATGAAGGCAGCAAACCCTTTCCTCACTCGTGACCCAAGTTAACAAATGCTCAGGGGCACCCGGAGGTGAATGTGCACCCAGGAACTCTCCCTGTGGGGTCTCAGGTGGCCAGGAGTGAGTCTGCAAGCACCTGAAATGACATACAAAAATGTGTTTTCACAAGAACAATTTTGGAATAAGAATTCATCTTTGGTTATATTTACATTCTCAGTACAATTAGGACCACCCCCAAGAAGCTAAAAGATTTGACCCCTTCATTCCTTCATCTCTTCAACAGATACTTATGGATGGCCGACTACTCAGAGACCATGCACCCAGCACTGGGGACACAAGGAAGATAAGACACCACCCCAGCCTTCAGGTGGGACAATCCATACATTACCTTGCTCTTTCCAGAAGTCTGTTGGACAGATCGTCAGAAATTCAGACTGAGTATGTGGGCCCATGCGGCCACCCAACATCATTCCTCTCAATTCCCCAAATAGTCTCTCTCCGAACCACTCTCTCCCTGCCTCTCTCCCTTCATGACTTCAACGAACATTTAAGGAACTCCCCCTTTGTGCCTGGCCCTGAGCTGCATCTTGTTTGATTGCTAAAACCATACTTTGGACAGAGCCAATTTCCAGGCAATTCACCTCTTTGGCAGAAAAAGTCTGACGCCTTTCCTCTTCTTTGCTCCCTTCACCCCGTCACCCTGCCCTGCCCCAGCCACAGAAAGCCTTGTTTTCTCCTTGAAGAAGCAGTAATGACGACTCCCCCTATGTTTATGGTTTATGGAAGGAGAACATGAGAGGATTGCCATGGTTACCGGCCCCGTTCTGCCTGCGTCTGAGGACCAGAGGGAGCTGGAGGAAGGCGCTGAGCAGCCGCTCCCGGTGCCGCTCAGCCCAGAATCATCATCATAAAAAAAATGTTTACACCAGAGGAGAAATTGCTTCTCAAATAGCAAAGGGAAAACGCCAGGTTTGATGAGATTGTTACGAGGACTCTTGGCTTGGTTACTTCTCCCTCACTCCCCCATCCCCCTGCCCCACTATAATTTAAGGTTGTATTAAATCAGGCAAAGAGAGCAGACGACAAAACATAGCTTGGGGCTGGCAGCTCTGGCAGGACGCCCGGGCAGGTGCGGGCGCCCCACCGCATCTTCTTTACCCTCAGCGGCGGCATAGGCACCAGCATCAGCATCTCCCTGCAGGCCCTGCGCGAGGAGCAGCCCCGAGCTCAGCTGGGCTCCCTGAGCGCTTGTGGGCTCCGCAGACCGTCCTGATTCTGAAACAGAGCAGGGCCAGGCTAGAACCAGGCAACCGGGGTCCTGCTCCAGCTCTGTGACCCTGGGCCGGCGTCTGCTTCTCTGAACTGTCATTCCCCTTCCTTTAAAGTGAGGGCCTAGGAAACATCCTGAAAGTCAAACAATGGCCAGACTGCCCGAGTTCAAATCCTGGTTCTACCGTTTGCTAGTTTCTCTAACCCTGGAAAGGCACTTAACCTCTGCGTGCCTCAGTCCCCCACCTGAAGAACGGGATTGATGATAGCACTTACCGCGTGGCACTGCGAGGGTAGACACGGCACCGCTCGGAGCAGGTGCGGCCGTGCAGACTCGCAGTAAATGAGTGCTGTCATCTCTACCACAGCGGCACGTTACAAGTGTCCCCTTTCTTTCAGAAATTCCGGAAATGCATGCATTTCTTCCATAACGGGTGTTGTTTGGACTGCCACATGGCAGAAGAGGCTGTTGGCATTATAACATGATAATTCTGCACCTCTCTTTCTTGTCCTTCTCCCCCACTCCAGCCCCTCCCTCTGAATGAACTCAGGGATGTGGAATTCCTGAGAGGCACGCTGGAGGGCTTAGTCAGAGGAGACCGGGGACGTGGTGGGAGGGGGCGGGGGGATGTGGGCTCACCTGGTGTCTGTTACAGGGGGGGAGGCAGGAATTCTTCCCTCCAAGCTCCTGGAAGCAGACATGCCTTTGGGAGGGGTTCCTTGAGGATGGAAGGCAGGAGTTTACTAAGAGCGTCCAGTAGGGGACGCCAGAGCGAAGGGGAGTAAACCAGATCTGTTTGTTAACAGCTGCTCCTGTGGAGTGCTCTGTACAGGCGGCTTGCTAGGTGGCAGGTGCTTGCCTCAAATTGTTGCTGTCCCCCACCGGCCCTCTGTCCCCTTTCTGCGCCCAAAGAAACGGCAGCGTAGCCTCTTGGCCGAGCTCATATACAGCTTCCATATGGCTGAACCTGGCCATGACCCTGGGGTAGTTTGGGCTTGGTCCTTAGCCTCCCCAAACACCCAGTGTGCAAACACAAAGCCCACTAGGAAAAAGACTGCGATAGGCGCACCAAGTGCTGAGTAGATCCGTAAGGGAGGATGAAGGCAGGTGGTGTGGACACTTGCAGGAGGAGGTGCCCCTGAGGGCTTCTGGGGGCGCACCTGAGAGGAGGTGAGCTGGCAAGATGGCTTATCAGAGCAGAGGGGGAACCAGTCCGAGAAAAGGTAGAGAGATGGGCATAAGTCTGGAAGGAGCAGAGGGAAAGGGGAAATGAGTTACAGGAAGCTGAGTTAGAAGAAACCCTTCCCAGTGGGCTGTGAGGAGTGGCAGGAGGTCTCCAAGTTGGGTATATGATGGGCTGCAGGGCTTCAAGGCATCGATGGGCACTGAGCCCTTGACTCCCCCTTGTCCCCCAGTGGGGCTCTGGGAAACAGAACCGTGGGGCCCAGACCAGGAAGCCCAAGCCCTGGCTCCCCCACCGCCTCCAAACCCCACTCGAAAGGAAAAGCAGTTTTCCATATTAATGTATCTGAGTCCCAAACCTACTCACCTGTGAAAAACCCTTCCCAGTGGTTTATTTGTCTCCTCTTGCTACGACAACTGCCTCTTTATTTTAAGTCATGCACTCGCCCCCCTCTGGGTTCACACTGGTCTTGCCACCGAAGCCAGAGAAAGCCCAGAGGGGTCTCAAGGGGTCCCTGGCCTCAGGAAAGCATTGCTTGGCAGGATCATGCACACTAATCTGGAACATTCTCAGAGGTGTTACGGATCCTTAAAGATGCCAATCAGCAAAGGATTTGGCAAAGGAGGGCTCATGCCAACAGTCAGTAAAATAACCTCTGGAAGCCTCAGTTTGCCCACCTATGAAACAGGGCACCTATGTCACCCTAGAAAGGCTTTCATGGATTCCACAGCAGACTCAGCTGTGATCAGGAATAATTTTGTACTTTAAAAGACCTTGCTTATTCTCAGATAGCAATCAAAATAATAATAACCCAAATATCCCCAGCCCACCTCCATTTCCTCCTTTGCTGGAAATGGGTATTAGGCAACAGATGTTAGAGACTGGTCGGATCAAAAACTACTCAGAAATGAAAATCTCAGTTCATAGTAGAACAAACATCATTGAGCACCTGGTGCACGACCACTAGGCTCCCCAATGTGCTCAGAAAAGAAGGGAATTGCAGGAGGGACAATGACAATGCCCTCCAAGCCATCTGCAGCCAGAGAGGCAACGTAGTGGAAAGAGCAGGGCCTGGATTATGAGAGTATCTGGGCTCAAAAGCAGCTCCCCCTGGCATTAGGAAAATCATGTAACGCCTCAGCATGCCTCCATTTCCTCATCTGTAAAATGGGAATATTAACAGCCATCATTGCAACTCAATTAATGTTATTTCTTTCCCTTCTTATGTCTCATTTATTCCACTTTGTGAAATCTTTCAAAGCTCCCCTTTCCACTGAAATATGGACTTCCTACTCCTCTACTTCCCGTGGCCTCCTAGTACTGCTTACTATCTACAAACCTTTAATAAGTCATCAAATATTTTAATATATTGCATCATACTATTTTCAGGGTGGACGTGCTGTTCAATTATAGGGACAGTTTCTTGAGGATGGGGCTGTCTTTATACTTACTGTTGATCCCCTCTGGTGCAGGACTGGTGCAGGGTAAGCATGCAAGCCAGAGGTATTTAACCAACTGACCATGGAGCAAAAGGGCCCTGTGTGTCAGCAAACTCAGTCTGCTGGGCTGGCCAGTAAGGACTGGCTCAGTGTGTCCTGAGGATGTGTCCTGCCCATTGCCAACACATACAGGGACGGCGGGTGGATGGATGGATGGATAGATGGATGGATGGATGGATGGATGGATGGATGGATGGATGGATGGATGATGGATACTGGCTGGCTGGCTAATGAATAGAAAGCATGGATACATGGATGCGTGGATAGAATGACCTTATCCTGGGGAGATTTCTTTAGCCTCTTGGTCCCTTCAAATCTACCCCAAATCTGTACTTCTTTCCTCCTCCACAGGCTCAGTTACTCCACCCAGGCTTCACCCAAAGGTTTAAGAGACAGACTGATTAGGTTTCTCACTTGCTTATGTTGTGTAAGTAAATAATATAGCAAAGTCAGTGTCATGTCCCAAGCATTTCTGCCAATGCTGGCAGCCTCCTAATTAATGCCATTGCCTGGCAAGCATTTGGCAGCCCATCCCCCTGAGTTCCCTTTGAGCCCCAACAGCTCATGCTGTGCCTGGTACAGCCTGAACCACGCCCCAGCCAGCGGCCTCCTCTCCTGCCCACCCTGGAAACAGACACAAACACTTCTGACAAGTTCAGTGGGAGGCAGTTCAATGCCATCACAGTCCCAGGAGCATGGTTACCAGGACATTATAGGAAAGTGGGTTCTGTGTGTGAGGAAATGCCAGCGTGGTCTCTCCAGAGCTTTCCTCCACAGCTTTAACACAGCTCAACCCAAGTCCTTCCTCTAGTGAGCCTTCCCTGATTCCTCAGCCCTCACGGACCTGACGCCTCCTCTGACCTCTACAACCTTCCACCTACTCTATGGGACAGGGTCCCCTTCCCCTCTACTCATATTTCATCAGCAAAGAGCATATTTTACTAGCCTCTCCCAAAGGACATGCTACAGAACACCTGAGCAGTGCTCCTCAAAATGGTCAAGGTCATCAAAAACAACAAAAGCTTGAGAAACTGCCACAACCCAGAGGAGGCATAATAACTAAATGTGATGAGATGTCCTAGATGGGGTCCTGGAGCAGAAAGAAGACATTAGGCGAAAACATACCATACTAATGTAAGATGTTAACCACAGGGGACATGGGGTGCGGGGTATATGGGAGCTCTCTCTTAATCTCTTTACAGTTTTTCTGTAAATCTGAAACTGCTCTGAAATTAAAAGTTTATTTTTTTAAAAGGTAGTAGAAGGATTTGGGTCCCAAGCTCCACCCATTCTGAAACCCTAACACATGTACCCCCACAGGGGAAAGTGCATTCAGACACTGCCATTTAGCACCCCATGAGTTCTAGCTCCTTAAAGCAAGAACCAAGTCTTCTCTTACTTCATGGATAGATTCTAGGGTAGGACCTTCCTTGGGTAAAGCAGATGAGAATAGATGCCTTGAAGAATTTCCCGTGCAGACTCCTTGTTTGGGCTTCCATCCATTCCTGCAAGAGAGCATATTCATTTGTCAGGCCATAATTAGAAATGCAAGTAGCATTTGCACCCTGTGGGCAGGCAGGTGCCATCACTACAGCACCCCATCTCTTCTTGACATGCCCCACAGACACCTGCCCAGAACCTCCTATAAGAGCAGCTGTTGGTGGCTTCTCCACTGAGGAACAGAATCAAGATAAACCTGCCTACGGCTCTCTAATTCCTCTAGAAGAATGAATACCTCAGAAAGGGATATCCTCACCTTGCCCTCTCCAGGAACTCCTGAAACTCCAAAATACCTTGAAAGGAGTGTGGGCATGTTATTAGAGCATCAGGCTCACCTTGTGGCTAGTGGTTGCTGTATTAGACAGCACAGATATAGAACACCTCCATGTATCTATCAGGCAGCCCTGTTGGTAGACAAAGCCATCTTTGCCAACAGAGAAAGAAATGGAAAACTGAATAATACAACTTATGCAATTACATTGAACAACCAAACATTCTCCCAGCTATGTGTGCGACCAGAGGATAATTGTATTTTGGTGCAGAAATGGCTTTTTGCTGGAGTAGCTAGGGTTCAGGCAGAGATGATTTTCTAATGTCTCTTCCAAAGGTATATGCATTGAGCACAGGTGGGATTAATATAAGTATGGAAACCCACCAGACTGAGGAGATCATTAGAAAAGAAAACAGATATTTACTTAAATGGAAAAGAGAAGAAAACATGTTTACTCTCTACATCCTTCTTTTAAAAGAAGAGAAACAAAAGAGCAGCAGCCAAAATGTATTTAACTACAGCACAAGTGTAGCAGGCCAGAACTCGGGAGGCAAGGCCCGCAGTGGGTGAGGGAGATAAGATATTTAACGTGTCTGCTCTGACAAGAAAATTAAAGACAATTGAGCCCAGCATTAAGTCTGGAGAAACAGAGACAGTTAGAGTTCCTTTGCACTGTAAACCGTCTCTTGCTGCAGCTCCTAGCTACAAGGAAACAGCCCTCTTTCCAGTTTATTCAAAATCTACTAACTAGGGTGTGGAGGGGACAGAGAGAGGTGTCCAGGCAGACAGAAGGATCAAGGGGTCCTTTACTAACCTTACAAAGTTGACACTTTTCATTACAGACTGAAAAGTCAGAAGGCTACAGGGATATTGTCCTAATCTGGAAACAGAAGCCTCCCACCCCAAGAAGCAGTCCTTTCTAGCAATATTGTGGGCTCCCCTCCTGATTCAGCATGTCTGGGATGGGGCCCAGACTTTTCATTTTATAAGTTCTCAGGTGACGCCAGTGCTTGCAGGGGAGCCACACTTTGAGAACCACTCCTCTAAAGAGAACTTTCAGACAGCAGCCCAAGAGAGGGTTCTGTCCACTACTGTCCACACAGGGTTATTTCTAAATGAGCAGAATGGGATGCATTGATTTTAGTTTTTTTAAATGTTACATTAAATATTATTTATCTTGATTACTGACATCTTGGTGCCTTCTTGCCCAAATTTTGTACCCGAGGTGAATGCCTGACTCTTCTAACACTAGT